TTAAATAATAAATTTATAATTTAATTTATAAATTAATCTTTTGGAGATATTAATAACAAACTGGTATTATGCAATTTGCTTAGATAAAAGAAGCACCTTCTTATAAACATACATTACATAGAATTAGGAGCGTATCAAATCTTAGTTTTGATTGAATATAAAAGAATAATAAAAAATCTTGCATCTTGAAATGCTAACACAAGTTTTTTTGATAAAATTATTTTCATCAAGAGAGATAACTTATTTTTCACAGTGTACATTCTAAACCAAAAAAAATATACAAATAAGTCATTAGCATTTGTCGATACATACATATTTAACATATTCTAAAATGAGTACAACTTATAAGATTTCAGCAAAATGATTAGTAGATAAACATGAATACATGTACAAATGAATAACGTAATTAGGTCATGTACTTGTATAAAATACCCTATGACATGTAATAAGTGTACACAGAAAAGTTGAAATATCAGCAATTACATTTGTATTCTCTATTTTAAATTTATGAAAAATCAATTTATTTGATATTCCAGCATACAAATAACAATGGAAAATCTTTACGGGTCAAATTCATACTAGATTGTGTGCATCCTTCCCATTTCGTAATCATTCCATATATTTTCAAGTTCTTTTTCCTACAGTATCTTTAAATATTTTCAATTGTCCTCCCTCTGATCTTCCATGATCATTCGAAAATCTCTTTGAACTGTTACAGTACCAAAAATGCAATTCCACCATTCTCCCCCTCTGAAACAATTTCTTTGTGGCGCAGAATGGTTTCAAATGTAAAAATAAAATAATTCTTAAATTACAAAATCAATTCTACAAGTTATGATAAGTTGAAGTCTCTTATCATCAGCAAGTTTTGTGTATTATTGGTGTTTGAATCACACAGACTTTTCATGTAGGCATATTAAGCTAGAACTTCATGAAAAATATGCCTACGTGCAAGTCTATGTGATTCACGCACCAATAAATCTCATTAAACTTAAAACAATCCTTACATTTACAGATTACATGTTTGGAAGCAATTAAAATATACTAAATATTTGAATTTCTCGCTGCCCTATATTGTTGCATCTTTACTAAAGTCGCTGCAACCTCATTGAAACATCAAGTTAACGCACGTTTCTCCGTGTATATTTATACGCTTGAGTTTAACGAATTTAAATTTGTTATAACAAATTTATTGAATTCGTTATAACGAATTTAATTTGTAATAACAGACTTTTTGAATTCGTTATAACGAATTTAATTTGTTATAACAGATTTTTTAAATTTGTTATAGCGAATCTAATACATTATCGGACTTGAAACTCCCTGATATTCGGATTATTCTCTGAAAATCTCTGCAAGAATCTTTACTTTCACTGTTAATCTCTGTACTTGCCTCTGTACTTTACAGTAAAACACAGTAAATAACTCTACAGAAGCACAGCATTTCACAGCACCTCCCTGTACTTTACAGTGCATTTCCTCTGTACATCACAGTACTCTACAGTACTTCGTAGTATGCAGTCACTGTTTTTCTGTGTGTGTCACAGATTTTTACTGTACAGAATACTGTACATTACAGTACACCACAGTATTTCACAGTACACAGTTCTGTACATTACTGTACAACACAATTTTCCCCTGTACTTTTTTTTTTAATTTTGGTAATTTCATAGGAAGTTTTAATTTTAGTAAATGACTGAATTAACAATAATGATTCTGTCAACAAAGATTTATTCAAATTGGTATTCATTTTTCAATGTTACCTGTGTGCAAGCATGTTTAGAAGAAATTTCCAATATCTGTTTAAAAAACAGCTGAGACGAAATTCTGATTTAAAAGGACTTTTTAATATCTTTAATCAATAATCTTTTTTTTTGGATGTTTAAATATTTTGTTTGATTTTCTTCATGATTCTGTGTACGGAGGATAGAAATTATTCTTCGATCATACCTATATTCTGCAAATTACACGTTTAAAATACCAGTAAATTTTTGAGTTGACGATCGATTTACCTTGGTCCTAACTTAAGTGACTTAAACTTTTAAATGCAGTTATGTAAACAGTGATTATGTAAATATACATTTCAATCATGCATAGTTTTGTACTTTCATCTTTTTTTATTATTATGTATCTAGACACATGAATACACACATACGAACAAAATCAAATGTAAGGCCACACCAATAAAATTCATTGTTCGTCGGACCCCGCTCGCTCGTATTTTAACAAAACTATAAAAATAAAATTTATTTAGATTACCCGCACTATAGGAATTCTGTGCTGTTTTCTTTTACATTTCCGCTCTATTTATCGTCTTTTTAATCTACTTGCTCTGCAAATCAGAAAAATATAAAACAGTGCGACATTTATGTCCGGACACGATACAGTCCGGACTTTTAGGTTACCTATCGAAAAGACATAATTTTAAAATTTCCTGTTTGGTGGGATTTTTATTCTCATCATGTCAATTTCAACTTCCACAATGTTTTAGTTTTCATTTAAACTTCTCCCAAAACGAAAAATCCCATGGGAGAAAGGGGGGATTTTTCATCCCACCTGAAATCCCACCAAAATCCCATAATTGAAGAAATAGGATTAAAAATCCCATATTAGCCATTTATAGGATTTAAAGTCCTATAAAGTGTAATTTGGGAATTTTCATCCCATAGGATAAAAAATACCTTACTATAAGGACATGTGTCCTTAAGTGATTGCTTCGTTAGATCACAGTTTACTACATTAATTTGGTCATTCTTTAGCATCGTCATTTGCGTTGTGATAAACTTTTCACATTTTCATTTTAACTGATGTGAAATATATAGTCCTATTGAAATATTTATTTTATATTTTATATTTTTTTAATTCAATATTTTTATTTATTTCTATTGAAATCAATTATCCATAATTACTTATATCCTTTGATCCGCCACAGACTTGAAAAAAATAATATAAACTCCCTTGGATCCATCACTTATGTTTAGACCATGATCACAAATGACTGTATGCTAAATTTTTGAAATCAATAACCCATAATCACTTATATCTTTTGATCCACCACAAACTTAAAAAAATAATATCCACTCCCCTTGGATCCACCACTCGAAAATGTAGATCATTATCACACATGACAAATAAGTTAAGTGGTTGAAATCAATTAAACAAATTCATTAATATCCTTTGATCTGCCACACATTAAAAAAAATCCGCTGCCCTTGGATCCACCACTTGTAAGTTTAGATCATGATCACAGATGACACATATAAACTGTAAGATATATGGTTGAAATCAATTAGCTGTAATCATTATCCTTTCATACAGCAAAATTATTTTTTCTAATATAATATTCACTCCCCTTGGATCCACCACTTATTTATTTAGATCATGATTACACATGACATATTAGCTGAAATGTTTTAATCAAATAGCCATAATCATTAATATACTTTTAATCTGCCACAATTTTTTCCTCTTGAATCCACCACTTGTTAGTTTAGATCATGATCACACATGACATAAAAGCCAAATGGTTGAAATCAAATTTAAATATACACTTATTGAGAATGCTTCCATATAAATAGAACCAATCATGGCTTTGTTGTTCTCAAGAAGAAGATTTTAAAGATTTTTCCTGTATATTCCTGTGTAAAATGTTGATCATCCATGGTGGGCTGGCCCTGCCCTACACCGTATCTATCTATATTTTGATCCATATAAATATTACCAATCATAGCCTTGCTGTTCACAAGAAGATTTTTCCTATATATTCTTATGTAAAACTTTGGTCATCCATTGTGGCCCCGCCCTACCCTACGGGGTCATGATTGGAACAAACTTGAATCTACACTACCTGAGGATGCTTCCATATAACTTTCATCTTTCCTGGCCCAGTGATTCTTGAGAAGAAGATTTTTGAAAGATGCCATTAATTTTTTAGTTATTTTCCATTTTGACCACACCAATAAATTTTTTGTTCGTCGGAGCCGCGAGCTCATATTCAAACGAAACTTGACAAGTAATATTAATTTAAAATTTCCCGCACTGTTGAAATTTTATGCTATTTCCTGTTCTATATCCGCTCTATTTATCTTATTTTTCATCTGCTTACTTTGTGAATCAGAAAAAAATATAATTGTCCGCTCAAATTTCTTCACGCTCCGCCTAAAAAAAATTGTCTACAAAAAGTTATAATATATTTGCCCCCAAACCAAACTTTGATGGAGATATATTTGATTCTTAAACAGGGGAGTATATGCCGACTTCAAATCACTGAATATTTTCATAAGCAATGACGCCATATGTACGTAATGACGTCACAAACATGACGTAAATTTAAGTTTTTATGAATTTCACAGAAAAATGTACATATTTCGTCGATATTTTGAGTAAAAGTCACCAAGCGCATGCGTGTTCAGGATCAATATTTTGATATAATGTGTAGAATGATAATATTAATGAAATATGTCAATATTGTTCCCACACAAATTTGCACTCTATAAATTTTAAAGCTAAAATTGTTGAAATTTTGTCCATTTTGTCCTCTTTCTGAAACAGGATATAAAATCAGACTAGTTTGTGACGTCATAAAAACAAAAATCGTGAATATACTGATTTGACACTATAATATTTTCTGTTAATTTATATTTCTAATACAATTTATTGAATTAAGCACATTTCAGGAAGTTTTCAATATTCGACTTTTGTGGAGGGGGGGGGGGGGGGGGGCAAATATATGCAATATACCGCATTTAGTTCTTTACAGTATCGAATACATTACAAATATTATTGCTGATATTTCAATTTTGCTTTGGACACTTTCATGTCAAATCATAATTACAATCAAGTACATGGCTTAATTATGTTATTCATTTGTACATGTATACATGTTTAACTATTTAATGATTTTGCCGAAATCATATAATTCGTACTCAACTTATTATTAAAGACGATGAAGACAAATATAACTTCTTAAAATCATTTATTTTGATTTGGCGATTGTGGCCACGACCTACATAATACAATATATATTTTATTAATCGTTATAACATAACTCCTTATAAAACCTTATATCCTTATCCTTATAAACCTTATATCCTTATCCTTATAAACCTTATATCCTTATCCTTATAAACTTTATATCCTTATCCTTATAAACATTGTATCCTTATCCTTATAAAGTCCTGAAGATTTGAATACTGACAACATTCAAGCTGGTACTGGGTTAGCAGATACTCAGCAGAAGTTGTGAAAAAATAATTGTATCATGGAAGGCGTCTCGAAAAACCGCCAAATGGTTGTCCGTTGAAAATGACAACCACCGCCAACGAAGTTAGGTGGAATGAGAGACGCAAAATATATGTAGGTGTGACCACATCTTGAAGCTTAAATTACGTATTTAACCTTTTATAGAAAAACATATTCTTGCAAAGCCCTTTGTAAGTTATATAGCAAGAAACAATTACCGATGTACGACAGGTGAACTCCATCACTACTAAACATTTCATTTGAATCCCAAGTAATCTCTGGGTATTTGATAAAGAATCCACCATTGACAGTAACTAAGTGATTCATAAAATTATTGAGTCTAACAGAAGCAAGATTTTGAGATTTTGAGTTCGAACTAAAACGCCATGAAATTCTTGGCAAAATATTTGACCAACCAATTGTTGTGTTGGGTAGTAGCTCCTCAAGTTTTTTGAGAGTTGAACACATATTGGACCGTAGTTGTAGCAATGGAATTTTACCTATGTCATTTCCTCCACAATGAATAATTAAAATTTCTGGAGGTGATTCATAACGTAACAAAAGTTTTATTTTTGGAATAAGGTCAAACCATTTCATACCTCCCTTTCCCTGCCAAAAAATTCTGTAATTTCTTCGTTTTAAACCTAAATCCACACCATCAAAGGATTTTCTTGCAAAGTAGAATGCCCATTTAATAATTGAAGAACCAACAATCCAAATAACCTTTTCATCTCCTATATAAAAATATGAAAAAAATCAATCAAGAACATACTAAATCCTAATATACCGTTTGAAGGCATCTGAACTCCATCTACCTTGCTTTTTAATTTCTGTTTCTGACTGACCGGAAGAAAAACTATCTGACGCAGCACCAATACGGAAAGAGTGTGATTTGTACTTGGAGTTTGGAAGACCGGCTATTTCAAGACACTTATTTAATACTGAACAGAATTGAAATCTTGTTAGAGGACTACCATCCATATGTTTAAATAATTGACCGTCAAATTTCGGCCTCATGGTGATGTACCTTTTCAACCAGTAAACTGGACAGATAGAATTCTTTGATTGATTCAAACAAACGGATGTTCCTTTCCCAAGTTGGTCAGTTTTTGAGAAAGGAACTCTAAGCTCTACGAAATTTTCCCCAGATGTTTCATTTTTTCTAAATTTTACATGTTCAATAGAAATAATTTGATTTGCTTGATTTGAACTACTAAAGGTAAATTCACCGATTCTAAGAAAAGCATGATAGGCTACCGAAAATGCCGTTGAAAAAAGAATGGACTCGAAATTCGACGAACAAACTAAATTTGTTGCTGTTATAAGTTTCTCAAGAATGTGTTTTGTAATAGGAAGTCTACAATCTTTGGAATGGTTTGACCTTTTGATTCCTTCCAATAATTTTCTAATTAGAAAGTTTTTTTTATTGTCACAGAAACCCAATATTTTGCATTTGAAACTTATTCCTGATATATAGGATGAAATAGTAGAATGAGCTAAACTTTGCAGGGATAAATGAGCAATAAAAATACAAATGTGTGGAACAGGTGGGGGCCAAACAGTACAAAGTTCATACAAAATTCTTAATAGCTCAAAGCTTTTTAGACTTGTGGAATATGTTTGCCTTGTATTTACTGATACCGAATTAAGTGTCAAGCGTTTAATTTCAGTTCCAAGATCAGTTTTACAAAATCTTCTGGAATAGGTGTCGGATCTTGATTGGAGGTTGGGGCAAGAACTCGAAACCTGGTCCACTGTTTGCGAGAAATAGAATCCGCTATAGCATTATCATAACCATCTATATGACAAGCTTTAAAGTAAAAATTGTTTACCATGGAATGTAAAACCAATGGCCGAACCAATTCCATAACTCGAGGAGATTTTGATGATTTTTTGTTTAAAATGGAAACTAAAGCTTTGTTGTCAGTATGCAGCATTATTTTCTTGTCGAGAAATTCATTCTTAAATAAGAAAATTGCAAGGACAATTGGCACTAAATCTAAAAATGTTATGTCTAACATAATGTCTGGATTCTTCCAGCTATCTGGCCAACCAAAATATGCCCATTGCCCATGAAGGTAAACGCCGCATCCTAAATGTTGATTGCCTGTACTATCAGTGTAGAGATGAAGTTGGTCATTAGACAACCAATTAACAGTCATGAAATTTAAACTGCCATTAAACCTGTGTATGAAATCTAACCACACAAGAAGGTCAGATTTCATTCCCTTTGTTACCCTAATGAAATGACTTGGGTTTTTTTTTAAGCTAAGAGACAAACAACACCCACCTCTCAATCCAACTGTAACAAATATTGTGACGTCAAAATTTAACAACAATAACGTCATCTATGGCAGGGCATTACGCGCACAAATCCATGGCGCGGATCTGAGACATCGTATTAACCATCGCTATAATAATTGGATTTATTTCAAAAGGAAATAAATCTTAATATGTAAAATACATACACTGAAAGAAATACCTAGTTGATTTAACTAGTGTGCTTAGTAAAGCGTTCTTCGTGGTTAGTGATCACCTTGTTTACTGGCTAAGGTAGTAAAACATGGAGTGGTGGTTGTATATATACTAAGATACCTAGTGAAAGTTACTTATAAATTCTTAGATTTACTAATGTTATCTAGTAAATCTACAAAATTTCTAGTAAAACTTCTTTTAAGGTAGTGATTGTATGGACAGTAATTTTACTAGTCTTCCCAGTGACTTTCACTAGTTTATTTTTTTTCAGTTATGTATCGACAAATGCTACTGACTTGTTTGTATACTTTCTTGTTTAGAAGGCACACCGTGAAAAATAAGATATTTCTCTTGAGTTTTATAAAAAAAAGTTGTGTAAGCATCATAATATGTTAATTTTCAAATATTTAGCCCATGAAGATATATCATTGGAATGTAATGAATTTTCATCTAAAGCAGAAATACCTAATTCTTAATAAAATGTGTACAAGAATATGTTAGACTATTTCATATGATTAACATATGATGCCCTTTTCATATGATACACATATATTAATCATATGTTCCAAAGTTGCCTGTATAACATTATCCATATTTAAATTACCACAAAGTTATTTTGAAAGACATTAACAAAGTATGAAAATGATAATAAGTACAACAGTAATATTATACACGTATAATTCACATATAAAGTATAACATATATATAACACATGTTTAACACATGTTTCATGTGTATAAATACACCATGTGTTTATTTTTACACATGTTAAACACATGTGAAACATATGTTTAACATGTGTAAAAATAAACACCTTATACACGTGTGCTCTTTTTATGTGTTTTACATGTGTTAAAAATATATGTTAAACACATGTTTAACATGAGTTTAACACATGTGGACATTTTTCCTGTGTACTGGTACAAGATTAATTTGTCAGGCAGAACACGACATTTGTTACGCGTACTTGTAAAATCATTTCTATGTTTACACGAAAAGTAGACGTACGCGGTCAAATGCTTAACCTCTCTTTTAATGACCAATGTAATTTGCAACAATATTTTATGACGAAAAGGTTAAAAGTAAGTTGTAATTTCATCAATTAATAAGTCCAAAGAAAATTCAATTATAATGCCAAAATTTGAAAGTATAATATTTATTAGGGATGTCAACGAGTACCCGGTCGATCGAACGTCCGATTATCGAATACTAAAATCGATACTCGGCTTCTCGGATGTATATTTTTAAATATTTTTAAGCTTATTTATTAATGTATTAAACAATCTGTTTTAAAACGTAAAATACTCATTGGACTTATACATACAGTAATTAAGATCTACTCCTCTAAATGATCTTTAGTTTAGTGGCAGTGTTTATACAGTAATTATCGTGATCAAGCACCAATTACCTGGCTTTTCTCACCTTCTACCCTTATATTTTGATTTGTTAAATTATTTGTTTTCACTGAACATCATTTGGGAGGTCAACATTACCACTACATCGCCAAAAATTTCAACTCATTACCGCTACATTTTTTCAGATTTTTGACCGATCATTACCGCTACATTTTTCCGACCGAAAAGAACGCATTACCGCTACATATTGAATCAGCCCAAAACAACTCATTACCGCTAAATATCGATTTAGCCAGGTATGGTTTGGTATATGAGTTCTAATCAACAGAATTCACTCACTATCTACATGTAATCAGAATGAGTATACATATATATACTAGTATATAACTCTGCAGTCGAAATTTAATTACACCGGCTTACTTATCGATGGTTATAAATTTAAAAAAAAACGATAATATTTCAACAAATGGCTTTCAAGGCTCTAGCGATTTAAAAAAAAAAAAAACATTTGACAAACCTTTAAATTTTATATATGAACAGAGCTTGATTTCAATTTTTTGTTGTGTGTTATGAAATGAAATTAATTTAAAAAGAATTTAAAAAAAAAACATCCTGCACAAAATCCTACTTTCATCTCCCCGTGATGAGCAGGGGAAACGGGTCCTACGTACTGTGCATTTATAGGTTGTACTGTACACAATGTAGCGGTAATGTATACTTTTTATGTAGCGGTAATGTAAGGTTTTTTGTAGCGGTAATGACTATGTAGCGGTAATGAAAATTTTGAAAATGTAGCGGTAATGATATGCATCCCATCATTTTACGTCTGTTATGATTAAATTAATTAGATAATTTTGTCAATTCTCCGAGAAGCCGTAAATTATCGGCAATAGAGAAAGCTGATATTACACGTGCGATTGTTAATATAGTTGTGTTTGATTGCAAGTCAATGAATACATGTGCAAATGATTAGGGCAAAGGCTTTAATAAACTGATGTCCAACGTTGCACCAAACTACAAAATACCGTCCCGTAGTACTATAAATTCTAGTATCGAAAAGTGTAGGAAAATCTTAAATCCGCTTTGTTTGGTCAATTTCACGTCAAAAAGTACGACTGATACCCGGACGTCAAATGCAACAAAGAGTTGCATTACAATTACGAGATAGATTTTTTTTTAAAACAAAAACACCATGGAAAACTTACAATTTTATTTCTTGTGTTTATCTCATAAATAAATTGAACTTTAAAAATGTATTAAATTCGGGCACGAAATACAATCATTGTTACAACGGAAATGCATTTACGGGTAAACATCCTATCAGAACATTTAGTTTTATTTCTACAAGAGTAAACAAAGTTTTACATTCATCAATCTATTTGTCAATATTTATTTACCCTTTTACCGAGTACCCGGGTACTCGATCGGAAAAACGTCCGAGTAACCGAGTATTAAAAATTGACCGATTTGACATCCCTAATATTTATATATAGATATGCATTTGTTTTTCAAGGAACATGGATGATTATGTGATTGCTGCTGCCATCGATATTGGATCTACACTTACGACATGTGGATTCTCTACTCGAATTGACTTTGAGAATAATCCACTAAATATTAACATTTTGAAATGGGAAAAAACACCTGTTGGTGAGAGGAAAACTCCATCCTGCATACTGTTCGATAAAGAAAGAAAATTTCATTCTTATGGATATGATGCTGAAGAGAAATTTGCAGAAGTTCTTTCTGAAAAGAAACAGCAAGATTGGTACTGCTTTCGGCGATTTAAAAATGAACTTCAAAACATGGTGGTAAGTTATTTACACACAAAGTATATTTTAAACCCGTGCCGCAGCGCTTACTCAAATTCAACCAAACACGTTAAAACATGTCCTTTGGTCAAGGGAATTATTGTTTTTTAACTCTAAATGAAGGATTTATTTCTCTTTTTTCCTATAGGACACAATATAGTAAAGGCAGATAAGTGTGGAAAAGTTCTAAATATTTTACTATCGAAATGTTGTCCTACAAAGTTTCCGAGCATACGTTAGGATCGGTTTTTCATGAGGGGGAGTTATCATGTATTATAGAACAGTAAGGTTTTATTTAGTTAATTCATACGTCTTTGTATACCGTCTTAGAGTGTTTTTCGTTGCCATATTGGAGATTCAAAAATTTTAAGTATAT